GGCTGTTTGCAGGTTTTCTTGGTTGTAGCTGGCGAGACCACGTGGCTTGGTCTGACCTCGGTGAAGTTGGCTCGACGAAAAAGGCTTAAAATGGAACTTGGTCGTTCCTGAATTAGTCCAGTGTAACTTAACGGACTCATAACTTTAACAAACAAAAGAAATAAAGAAAATAAAACAAACTGAAGGCAGATCGATGTCTCGGCACTTCAGGTGTGTAGCTTCAGGCGAACAAAGGCCTGTTTGTTTCGCTGGCTGAGTCTGGGCGTGTTGTCTGGCGAGGCACGCCACGCGCGTGCCGAAGCATCCAGGGGCCAGAGTGGAAGAGCGAGAAGAGGGAAGAGTCTAAGAGTAGAAGAGCAGGTCGCGTGTCGCTCTTTTGTTGTCTGGGGCGTGGTTCCCCAGGGGGCGTCTCAGGTTTCCCAAGGGACTGCCTTTCCAAACTTAATGTCTAAAGAAAAGAAATCTATTTGCACGTATTATAATCAAATATTTTCCACAATCGAACCTCAATGGTTGAACGGTTGTACTGTTCTAAGCATTTGGTAAATTGTCACATTATTGGTCAGTATTTTTACACATTTAACCGCATTTCTGACGAGGGCATGTAATACTTATTTCGTCCACTTGGGGGAGCTCAGGTTACATGAGGAAAGCTTGGATTAAATCAAAGATCGTCTCTCCTTAGGAACCGGGGAATTTGTTGATTCATCCTTAAATTCAAGCTGGCGATTAAGAGTGTAGTAAAACATTTCTTTGTCATCATTTCTAAAGGGATTTTGTAAGAAAGTATTATGAACAAGCATTGATTACATCGGATGAAGGAGTGTCTTGCTGAAAATGAAAACATTGCACAAGTAACTTCTTTTCAGCACTAATATCAACAACAGATAGCAACGACAGTTAACATAACTACTCAAATAGAGGCGAACATATTCAGGTAACTAAAGATTTAATTAAATTTAATTAGATGCTTTGAGTCTTTTGGAGAATGCAGTCCTTTGTCATCCAAAGTTCAGTGTCTGGAACATGTCACACTTAGGTGAGACAAGGAGTATCCTTTTGATGTGGTAATAAAACAAAGAATAAGGTCAGTTTCCACGGAAACGTGTGTGGTGGGGTAAGTTTTGATAGGCTGTTCAGGGAGATGCCAATGGCTGGCTCGTGTCCCTTTGTCAGTTTAACAGTCAGGCCCCGCGTTATCAGCTTCGGAATCAAAAATGGTGCCAGTTTTATGGTCGGGCTAGCACTTAGAGAAAGCAACTTTGACCCCTCCCCATCTTCTCTGGGGAGGAGAAAGGAATTTAGGGTAGCTCCACATTCATTCAATATAAAAATGCACAAATCCACATCGTTGTTCACTACACCAGCCACATATATGTATATATATATTGTAATTACTATCATTATATCTCTAAAGTGCTCAATCATACAGTAGTCTAACGTCCCTATCCATGAGTAACATCTACATATTAACATCAGATATCAGATTTGCGGGGAATATATTGACGTGAAAAGCTTGACACACTATATGAATAAACACACTCTTATTAAAATTCAACAAATTTAATAATAATCTGGATAAAGCCTTCAAGTTCTTAAAGGAACTCCAGCACAGAGAGAGTAACAAAGAAATAAACACATTATATAAACGCAGCAGTTTGGCAGGTCTGGATGCAGAATGGGCCACATCAGGTCCGGATTCTGCTGACAGAGTGAGTCTACTTGTTCCACTGGAGTCATATAAAATGAAACAAATGAACGAAACATTCACTGAACGACACTAATTTGGATTCACCTGTTGAAAAGAGAGTAAACTAAATGCATTCCACTTGTGTTTAACATTTATTTAGTCTACACAAACACTCTGCTGCCGATAAGTTAAAAGAAATATGATTTGTTTTATGTGACATAAGCAGATTTACTTAAAGTAAACAGTGTTATATTTTTTCCATAGCATGTTTTTTTTTAAGCAACGCATCACATCCACAGCGCACGGCATTTGGCTAAAATACCATAAGGCAACGAACATTTGACGACAATATATGAAACTATGCACTCATATTTGCTTGACTGAGGCAATAAAAAAGGCATCTAATTGTTTTATTGAGGTTGTCTTCCTGTCCACCTTATTTATGAGAAGAAATTGCACTGCATTCTTTTGCAAAAATTCTCCATGTGTGTTTATTATCCTGTATCATGTTTTTTTGCAAACGATCTTAAATGATGTTTCGTATTGCTAAAATCAATCAAACAGGTGTTTGTTTATTCAGAGATGCTTTCATCTGTTTGGCAAATGAACTAATAATATTAAATAACATTAAGTTTTATTGGCCTTTGATACTCAGAGGTAATATTTAGATTTATTTTGCACTATAGTATCCATTTCATACGTTTCATGCTTCTCATTTCTCCAGTTTATGTGGGTATGCATGGTTCAGAGTTTGCATGGAGGACCGCACACTCTCCCGTCAAGTTTGTTTTTTATAGATCAGAACCTTTGCTTGGGAAGTGGCGTACGCATGTTTATAAATGAGGCCCCAGGTTCACACAGTGACACTGTTTGGAGTAAAGCAGCCGTCATCCTGATCAATCCTGAGCTCCATCAGAGCGTCTAAATTATTTCAGAAGTAAAAAATTTTAATTCTGCTTCCTTCCTGTGCTTTGACAGAAGTGTGAACATGTAAAAGTTCTGATTAATAAGAAGATGCCAAACCATTTAAAATCTTAAAATCAATCTTGAAGCGGACATGAAGCCAGTGGAATGAGGCTAAAATGCACTTTTTTGTTCCAGTTAGAAGTCTAACAGCTGCATTCTGAACTAACTGCAACCAATAAAGGAATGACTGAACATTTAAGAATTACAGTAGTATAGCCAAGATGTTATAAATGCATGGATTACTCCTTCAAAATCTTTGTACTACTGGATACTGCTCTTATAAATGCACGTGTAGTAGTAAAAGTGTTATAGAAATGTAACTTCTTACGTTTTAGACCCAGTAAAAACTAAAGTAAGATTATTACTTTTTTAAGGAGTAATAAGTAAAAAGTATCTTTTTAAATTCCAGAGTAACTTTCCCAACACAGCTGATAGCAGGGCAGAGTTGTGTGAGCGAGAGCAGCTACCCTTTGAATTGAACCACTGTGTAACTGAGAAATCTCATGAATTTTGAGTAACTTGGCACCTGTTTGTAAATCTACCACCTCTAACAAAACGTCTATAAAGTCTGGCATCATCTTCACTCACTAGCTCCCACAGCTTTGATTGTTGTAGACTTCAGATTATGTAGCTGCTGAACTGGAAACAGTAGATAATCACTGGTGACAGGGACCAGAAGGGGTTTGAAAATACAGCATACTTCATCTACTGGAGAGAGCAATCCCTACTTCATCTGATTATGCTTCCTGTTCAGGGGACAGGACGTCAGGTTGAGTGGCTTGTTTTGTCATTGAATGACAGCATGGCAATGTTATTGGATGCCTGGAAGTCGCACTGGTGATGACCACCACAAGTTGAGTGAGAAATATAAGGTACAACACAAACACTCCAATGGTGCACAAAAAAGATATAAGTATTCCTTCCTGTAGCCGTAGACTTGTTTTCTTCACTTTTCTTTTGAATGTTTTTAAGTAGTTTTATGTGTAGTAATAAAACAAACATATCTTATTGGCATTAATATTTCAGCAAAACTGTTACAGGACATGTGGTCCGTCGTGAATGTGACTGTTGTAATTGGGCTGACCAGCCCTGGGTCGACATAAGTTTAGTTTAACTCTTTTCAAGGAATATGTCTAAATCCAAATCCAATCCTATGACTGTGTAATCTTTTGTCATTTCCAATGCATAAAGACCAGATATATACTGTAGGTCTCAATTTCAAAACAAGAAACAATGAGCATCTCTTCACTTATACACGTTAAATGCATAACACAAAAAAATCACATACGAAATACAGAAAAGACATCAAACCCGGGTTTTGAGTAAAAAAACCTTTGTTTTTCTTTGTAAAAGAGGTTGCTTTCATTTTCACAATGGCTGGTGACGTATAGGTTAATAGTGCGTTCTTTCCTGATCAGAACAATTATATTCACATCATCTGGGGATGCATATACAGAACGGGACATCCTTACAAAAAACAAGTTTTAAAGTTAACTAAAAATGTATATTTACATAAAAAAATAATAAGAAAACTCCTGACGTTCCCCTCTTTATCACACCTTCTTTCACACCTCCCCTCATGTGCGCGAGATACACACATCTGTGGTCAGGGACCCCTTCTGTGTTTACCTTGTGGTTATTTAACTACTTTAAACAAATCCTTATCTTAAACATGTACAGCCTATAGAGTGAACAGTTTCATGTGAGACTGTAAAAGTGTTGCTCTGCTTCAGTAAATGCTAAAACACCATGTTAAGTTAAAACAGCAAATCTGTCAGAGGTGTGAAATGCACATACAGACACCTACCTGATAGACAACGTGCTGTTTATCACCACAGTGCAAAGAGCGAAAACTGGCATGTTTGTGTCATAAATATTTATATTCATAACTACAATTACCAATCATTTAAAATATTTTTATTATTATTTATTAGTCTTTTTTGTAACACAGTGACATCACAGTGAAAATATCCAGTTTCCAAAGCATCTGTAGAAAAGTAGAACCTGATCACTTTGTCTACTTGACAGAGGAAAGCCAGCCAGCATTCACTGCTTCATTTTCATGCTTCATTTCAGACTTGATTCTTTAAGAGATTTGATTCCTCATAATTATCACCTGCTGTGCTCAGACCACACTCTGCTGTCTCTTTCTGTTAAACAAATGGTGCTCGCCTCTCTCACTCCTCCACTGCTGCAGACATCCATCTATCTATTGTCTATATGGACAGTCACCAGTTCAGATAAAATTAGCAGACAGAGGGTGAGAGAGTCATGAGAGTAAAAAACACAATCACATGTTTAGTAATTTTAGCAATTGTAATCTTTTCCAATAAGAAAGTTATCACTCCTTCCATCCGTCCATAAACAGCAGTGGATGAATATGAGTCTATCTGCTGGCACCATAAACAATATGAGTTTGCACTTCTCTCTCTGATGCAGGCCTCCTGTTTCTTATTGTTGTTGAAAACAAACTCAGTGCTTTCAGGTCATCAGAGTCCAGATTCTGTAAAGAGGACACACAGTTCCACACGTCAAATAGCGAGATCACAAATTGTCATGATTCAACATATTAAAACAATAATATATAGTAAATGATAAAACTTGATTCACCTTACGCTGTTGTGGAATCTGTTCTTCATTGACAGCTAATAAAAGAGACAATATATCTAGTCAGTTAACTGGCAGTCCTTTTCGATTAAAAACTGCTAAAAGCCTAAACAGCATAATTATACTGAAATACATTTATGCAGAACATAAATAAATACAGTCATCAATAAATAAGATATATAGTTAGTTCAGAAGTACCTGTCTGAAGTTTCTTGACTTTAACAACCAGACCAATGATGACTGTTACAAAGAAAACAGTCAAACCGCCCAGGATCACACTCATCGGATTGGTTATTCCATCTCCCTCTTCTACAACAAAGATCATTAAATTAGACTAAACGTTAGAAAACGGAATCTAGCTGATCTGTTTTCCTGAAAATAATTGACAACTAGCACAAGGAAAGAAATCTTTAAGACAATCTTACTTTCACACTTGCTGTCCACGTCATCATGCGACTCATCGCTGTCTTTTAATGACATGAAGATAAATTCAGTCTTGATTTGGCAGATTTATATATAAATTATTGAAGCCACTTTGTTGCACACATGATGTTGTTTTAAGACAATTATCAAAATCTTTTTTGCAATATAAGCAGAAAAACACACTGAATAATGGGAATCCAAAGACAGAAATACTTTACAATACTCTTACCTTTAATGTCTAAATGTATTACACTGAAACTTGGACGTCCATCTGTATAAAATCCACAGAAATACAGTCCAGAGTCAGATAACCCACTTGTTTGATTTTGAGAAAGAGAGCAGAGATGTTGGAGCTCATTTCAAATCTTCCATCTTGATATCCATCACAGAATGTAGCTTGGCTTTTAGATGTGATCATAACAGAGATACAGCTGATGCTGGTTCTCTGGACAAGTCTGATCCAGAATGTTACAGCTTCATTTTTGGAAATGTTGGAGCACAGCAGTGTGACGTCTTCACCAGACTGGACCTCCACAGTCTGAGACTCAGAAACTGAGACAGAGATCCAGCCTGAAACAAACAGCAGATGACAAGAAGACTTTCTAGTTATAAAGTAACATGACAGTAAACAATATAACAATATAATAAAACTCATCAGGTGAGTAATAAGTAAATATGTTTGAAGTTGGGAGTAATTCAGTGCCAATACTTACTGAGGCTGCAGAGAATGAAAGCTGTCATCAAGGTAAAGTTCATCATTGTGCGTATGACTGAAGCTCTGCAATGTCCGTAAATGAAGTGTTCCCCATGAAGTGTGCTCTCAATGCAAAGAGGCGGGCTGTTTTGTTGCTTATCATGTTGCTCAAACTGACCACATAAATGCTGTGAGTGTTGACGCAAACATTTAGCCTCACAGAGCATAAGATATATTTCAGAAAATGTTCATTCATAATAATCTTCACCCCAAAGTACATGCAATACAATGAACAAAGACATTTTCAGAATGCAAAGGTTTTACATAACATCAGAAAGCTGAGAGGTGAGAAGAGAGAAAAAAGAAAGCTGAGAGGTGTGATGTGTAGAGTCACAGTAAGACGCTCAATTTAAGGTAATAGTAAACATGTTAATGCCTGACGGTATTTAGATGGAATGTGTGCTGAAGGTGAGCCAGGATTAAATATTGGAAACATTATAGTCCACCTGTGGCCTTGAACCTAGCTGCCACACATTGTGCTATGATTTAACAGGAACCTGTAGCGTCCTATTGTCAGGCTTTATTAGTGGATGCTGCTCTCTGTGAATTCTGTCTGGAGGCTGATATCAGGGGACTGTGGTGACCTGAATGTTCCTGGACACATTTGTGGATGACTATATATATATTACAGGGATCATGTTTGAAAGTAGTCTGCTTCTTTGGGGTCCATGATGACCATGGATGTATAAACGTGGCCCTCCATGATGTTAATGTCCTCTGACATCAAGCTGCTGATCTACTGCAGATGACTTAAGAGAAACCCTGTGAGACATCTGCTGTTACACCCCCTACAGGCAAGACTGAGACAAATAGTTTAATCTGGTGATTTTGCCAAACACATTATTGTGGTTATTATTGTTGTTCTGTGGACTGACTACATCGTGCTTGTGACCCATTCATGGTAATCTCTAAACAATACAGATGCTTTATGCAAAGTAAATGATTAAACTCAGAAATGCACTCAAAAGTTTTTTGTGTATAATTAGTGTATAAATTCAATGTAAGTGACTACAATCACCCTAAAACAAGAATGACTGTGTTTTTGTTACCTTAGAATGAGCTCTACAGAGGGAAATGGGGGAGAGGCATCCTCTTCCACATGTTTCTACAGTAGCCCAGAAAGGACAAACCAAGCACTGGCTCCAGAGAGGGCCTTTTGGGTTTGTCATGTGTTTCATGACCACCATAAGTTCTCCTGTACGCGTGGAAGGGAAGGGTGATGGGAGGAGTATTCAGCTGGCTGCAATCTGCAACCTCATCTCTAGATGCCACTAAATCCTACACAGTGGCCCTTTGAGAAGACAAAACATTGAGTCCGTACATGTTCTACGTGTTGCTGTTATCTCTAATCTGTGAAAAGGGTGCAGGGTTTTTGGTTGGGGAACAGGAGGGTGGCTGATTCAAATCCAGCTCAGACAACTGCCAGGTTGCTGGACATGGCAGTCCCATAACTGTAGCATCTCTGCAGCAGTTGCATGTCTGTGGTCCTGTGTGTGTCCATGTGTTTATTTCGGGTCTGTGTGTGTAGAATTGTAAAATAACAATAAAATGTAAAAATGTATTTCCTGAAAAGGATTAGTAATATAATATTTCTTGTTTTTTCAGCTTAAAGCTGAATACAAACCTCAACATCTTTCAGTTTTGTATTCTTAATAATTCAGCTCTTCTGTAATACAGCAAACCTACTTACTGTTAATGAAATTATGAATATTAATTTTCAGAAATATTATGTTGTAAACACTCGTTTTGGGGCACCACCTAAAATTTGCTGTCCGCCCAAGGTTTTAAGACTCCTTGGGTGTAGCTTTAATAATTACACAATTATTTACGAGTGATCAGTTAGTTAATCATTTTGAGTCAGTTTAATCAATCAGTCAGTCTCATATCAAAGACGTGAATCCTCCGTCCAGTGACCTGGATTTAAACAGTACACACACACAGTACCTGTGATTAAGGTGAAATTTATTAACTAACTAAAGTGAACACAAAGTGAGGTTAAATATGTCAGACAAACCACAATAATCATTAAACAAACAGAATGCAATCAATGAGTGTAAGAGTTCAATGTGAGTCTAGTTGGTCTATTGTGGGAAAGGATTTGATTCTAAGGGAGCAAGATTACTAATGAACAAAGTTATATGATCATAATTAAGTGAAATTTGACGAGGAGTTTTAGGCTAAAATGACAAAGGATTAAAGATAAAGGTTAAAAGAGGACATCAATAGATTACAGAGTGCAGGGTTTGTTTTGTCTTAATGCTTGTTGAGTTTGTTGACGCCCTGTAATCAGACGGCCCCACGCCGTACGGCTCGGCTCTGCCAGGGATTATTCCAGGGGTCTGTCCTCTTCGGCCGGTGATGAAGAAACTCTTGCAGTGATAGGCAGTTAACCCTGGCTCAGTTCGTTGATGTCCTCTGTGTTACAGCTGGTGTAACTAACTCACGTGGCTGGCCTCCGACTCGTTGTCGTGGGGAGGAGTGAGGTTAACGTTAATTCGACGGAAATAAAGACTTTAATAGAAAAGAAACTTGGTTGTCCCCAAATTCAAAGTTGCGTGACTTAAACTGTCTGATAACTTTAACAAGCAAAACAAAAGAAAGTAAATTCAATGAAGGTTGACGTGAATATAGCTAAGTACGCTGCTGGAAGACAACGAGAATTTAAGAGTCTCGGAGGTCTTTCCGGGTTAGGGTTGATTTTATGGTCAAAACTGCCCAAACGGCACTTGGGAGTGGAGCAAACCTTTCCCTCCTACACCCTCCTTTGGGGTACTTCAGCTGTGTGGTGAGGGTTGATATCTCTCATATCTAGTTGTGCAAGTGTGCGTTTCTACCTTTCCACCAAAAAGCAGATACCACTGCATCTTGTGAAGGTCAGTTAGTCTGTTTTTGTAAAGTGATGAGAGGAGTAGTGAAACAGTGTCAGAAGGGGTTAATATGTACTTTCAACTTTTGAAGAAGCATGTATTTTGATCTTTGAAACCTGCTAGGCCTTTGAGGTGTGTGGTTATGGTCTTCCTGTGGTACAGACTTCACTGCTGCTATATGTTGCCTGCTGGTTGTTACACTTTGTCTTTCCAAAAATCTTTACTTATATAGCCACAGATTGTTTTGTTAGCTTTTACATTATGAACAAGACTAGACTAGAGTTTACGTTTTCTTTTTTTACTTCCAAATATATGACTTCAGAAGCGTCACTATTTTCAGCTCAGTTGTGCTCAGACGCCACCGCTCTCTTCCTGTTAACCAAGTGACGTGTACCTCACTCACTCCTCCCCTGTGTCTATCTAAACACTCATCTGTGTCCGAAGGGCAAGCTTAGAGATTTTGCCAAGAGAAGGGACAAATAAAGAAGCTACCAAAGTCATCATTAACAAAAAGCTACCTGAACATTATTACAAAATCACATTGTGTCTGGTGAGATTGCAACACCAGGGTAAATCCAGGACATTGTGCACGACTGTCAGTACAACTAAAGACTCGTGTCATACACTGTTCCTGTGAGTTTTTCTCTTGACTGATACTGTTTTCACTCACTTAAGTGTTATTGTTTTACTTGTTTATGTTTAATGTGTTAAGTTGCTGTCATTGAATGCAGCACTTTAAAGGAACGAGGCAGCAACAGGATGGAGCCTTTTTGGTGCTTCCATTTAGCCTTTGAAGTTGTCATGGGCGCTCAGTTTGAAGAGTCTCTCTCTGTATCACCTTCTTGAAGACAGGAATCATCAACTGCAAGAGAAGCCTGAACACTAAATGAAGGCTCTTTTGCAGTCATTTCAGGACCTTAACAATATAAGTTGAGTTTTGAGTCCAGTTAACTCTTCACAACTAAATCCCAATTGCTTGCTGGATCACCATGGAGACAAGTCTTACAGAAAGCACATGTGCCTGGGCAGCCATGTGAAGCACGTTAACTACTTCACATGTGGAACATCCATGTTATGACCCTAGGGTCGTATGTTTGGTTTGGGGTCTGTTCCTTCTCTCTCTTGCGTGTTCTGTCAGTGTGAAACACAGCTCCTTTAGTTTCTTAACCTGTGTTGATTATCGCCTGAGAGAGTAGTTTTGTGTTGGTTTACACTTTTGTCAAGACTGTAATAAATATAATATTGTTACTCTTCCTCCCCCTGGACTTACCATCCGGAGGAACGTAACAATCCTAAACAAAATATTTCCCATCTGATCACAAGTAGTTTTCAGTCTGCTGCCGAGTAAAACATCTCACATCACATCACAAAACAGAGTTTTTCAGATTCTTCATCTGTTGAGCTGTACTGTACATTTGTACGGATCTCAGTTTACAGAGGAAGACACTGTCGTCTCGCTGTGCAAGTATGAGGCTGCACAAGGCATTTTTTCTGCAAGCAGGATGCTGATGTATGAAGTTGAGAGTGAAATGAGTGTGATTAGTGTGATCTGTGAAGAAGGTGCCAGTTTGAAAAGAGATGGATTTACTGCTGATGGGAACTAACTGCACATCTACATATAACAACAAAACTATCATCACATTGGAAGAGAAATTAGAAAAGCTGTTGTACAGTTTTTTATGTGGTTTCTTTGCAGAGAGCTGAAGGCCAGTCCTCCTGTGGCTTTCGTTTTGGCTGATACACATAGTGTTTTGACCACAGTGGAAAATTACGTGGAGGGGGGGTGCACAAGTCATGTTGCTTACAAGTACAGCCAGGGCAGAAAGCTACGGTGTTGTATTGTTCATATCCACATTCACTGTGTCAGCACACAATAGAGAGAAAAAATAATAAAGATCAGTATAGCCAAGCAAATCTAGATTAGTAATGTTTTATCCTAAACCTTAATACAAATGTAGAGGTTAAACATATTTAGTCACATGACTATCTCTGCTTCCTTATAGATTTTATTAAAGAAAGGCTTGACTTCAGATTTCTCATGATCTTCAGGTCAGTTGTGCTCACACAACACTGTGCTTTCTCTTCTTGTCAAACAAGTGATGTGTACATCATTCACTCCTCCCTGCTTGCAGACTCTCCCTATAACATGACAGTCTCCTCTCCATAACTCATTATGGAGGAGGAGACTGTCACATGTCCTGTGTGTTTTTCATTTTTTCATTATGATCAAGGACATCATTATAAGTACAACAGAGACTGAGAGCAAGAGAGAAAGAAGCATGTGAGAATCAAAACTAGAGAGGCTGGAAGTCAGTCAGAGCTGGGGGTGCTGATAAAACTCACTCTATATAATGACATCATACTAATGCTGGATGACATTCATGGTTGTTGCTTTCATTTGAACATATCAGATCATTTTTATCTCATGGTTATTAATAACTATTTACAACAATTTTAGAGCAACAGCAACAACACTGAACTAATACATATAACTGGGGCGGATGTGTCTCAGGAGGTAGAGTGGGTCACCCACTGATTGCAAGAGTAAGACACTGAACCCCAAATTGGGTGATTGAACCGACGTGTAAAGTACTTTGGATGAAATGACTTTTTACATGTAGCAATCTACCATTAACTGCAAGGAGAGAAAGAAGGAACGAGACGGCGCACCAGTGTTTTCACATGTGATAAAAAGCTCAGATGTGATTTGACTCACAGCACAAGTAACAACGGACTGGATGATAAAAGGACACCTACTTCCAGCCAACGATGTGTCAGTCCCGTCTGACCGAAAGATATGGCTCCGTTCAAACAGCCGTAATTCACAAATTCCCACATCCATGACAGAAAATAAAATATTTAATAAAATAAATCTCTTATTACAAAATTTGAATCCTCCTACCTGATACCCTACAATTATAATACTGGAAATTGTTCTGGTGCAAAAATCTATGCAGTTGTTGTTGCATGCACCTGTTGACAAATAAAAAGGGAGGACCCATTTTTCTGCAGACACATTTGTTTTTCTCCTGTCTTAGGGTAACTAATGAAAGTCCAATGCTACACACTCTTCACCACACTTTGCCTGTCCAAAACTAAGTGGCCTAGTGGTTACTCCAAATCAACATAAACAGTGTACAACATGTCTTTGAAGAGGAGGAAAATGGGCCCTATGTAGTGTTCCAGGTGTTGGACACTAGAGATGGAAAGGACGAATTATGGAATCTGTTTATTGTTGCAGCTGTACATCTCTTCAGCTGGAACAACATGTGAATCTCTACCTTCACTTGAGATCACATGTTCATTTTTGTGCCCCCCACAACATGACCACAACATGACATCAGTCTGAGACAAAACATAGTGTCAATATTCAGCAGTTCTGGTCACACTGGATTGAACTGAAAGGCAACAGTAACTTGATATTCAAAAGAAGATTGTGATTCTCATTTTTTGGAATTTTACACCTCTATAGCCTGCATTATTTTGTGTATCAGGAGACCCGGTGGTTCATTGTTGAAAGAGATTGGTATGCAATTTATAAAGGTAGCATTACTCATAGTCTTTGACAACAGGAAGTTGTTTGATATTTGTGGTCAAGGCTGAAGTCTTTCAGGGGAATTTATTTTCACTCACACAGACAATGTTTGTCTCCACAGGGGGCTAGTTAATTATTTGCTTTACTATTTTCAACATTCTGTACAATTAAAGAGCCTGATATTATTTAGACAAATGTAAATAGTTCAGTTTTCACTGTTTCTTTTTATACTTTGCCACAAAGCTTTGACTTTAAAGACCTTGCAGCTTTAAAGTCAGTTGTGCTCAGACGTGTCAGATGTGTACCTCACTCCCTCCTCCCGCCACCTCTCAGACTGTCTGAGTCTTCCTGTAAGTTTGACAGTTATTGGTGTCCTTTGTGGCTCCTCCTCATCAAATATATACCACCCACACAAAAAACACAAGACAACAGATCCAGGCAGGGGAAACTGCTAATAGTGATCACAGTTACGGTGATCAGCTGCTGATATGGATCAAAAAGCTTGGGACAGAATCATTCCTACACACATGCTCTTTAAATCATTTGCTTATAATAATCAAATAGTCTGCTTACAGTGTTCATTTTGGGGCTTTTCATACATGACAACATATGGAAAAAAGTCATAATATTGTATGAATATGTTTAACTCTGAGCAGCGCTGATAGCCTGCAGTTTATATTGAGGCCTATTACACATTTACAAATGCAGTGCCTATTTGCACTACTGACGTTACTATATTTGTAAACAGCACAATACTGTTTTAGGCTATAACCTAATTATATTTTAAACTACAGTAAGCTATATTTTATATACAGTACTTTACTATTGTACAGTGTATTTGAATTATACAGTGCAGTAATTTGAAAAGCAGTACTGTATTTGGAACAGTCAAAATAAATTCAGTTAAAACTGAAGCTGACCGTTTCATTACTTTATATTCATGTAATAAATATAAAGTGTTGGTCAGATGGTAATCTGCATGAGAAATACAAAATAAGAAAATTACATAATAATGTTCTGTTTGCAATACTACATAATATGAGTTGATGAGTTGCAGTTCCAGTTGCTTCCTGAGTCTATCTGCTGGCAGCGTAAATAACATGAGTTTCCACTTCTCTCTCTGATGCAGGCCTCCTGCTTCTGATTGTCTTTGGAAGGAACCTCAGCGCAGCAGAGTCCAGATTCTGAAAGAATATCAAGGATTTAGAGTCACATACTGTAACACACACACAGTGTAGCTGAGTTTGCCAAAAATATGTAAACTAGTGCAGTTGTGGGTTGTACCACAGAGGAATCATTTAAACTAAGACCATAACTCAAAGATCACCTTGTTGCCTTCTGGATGTGGTTCTTCATTCACAGCTAAACAACAGAAGACAAATGTCTGATTAGTTCATTATTAGTGTCCAAATGCTTTGCTTTGGATTTGTGCATCATGTTGACACCATTTACAACAAATTATAAATCTACTGTACCTGTCTGAAGTTTCCTGATTTTAACAGCCAGAATGACGACTATAGTGAGGAAAACAGCCAGACCAGATAGGATCACACTCATTAGGTTTCTCATTCCATCAGGTTTTTCTAAAAGAAAAAATCATAGAATTAGATTCTGGTTTTTAATCTAGTAGTTTCAGAAATGGTCAAGACTGAAATGACTGACTCTATGGTAACTTGCACAATGAAACACATCTTAAGGGAGAAAAGAAGAACCTTACTTTCTTCAAAAGTCTTCAAATCCACTTCATCATCAGAGTCACCACTACCTTTTTTAGAGAAAGAGGGGGATAAACTCATCTGAGACATATTGGTTTCTTGTTGTCTTTATACAGTATTTATATTACTGTGACATTATTTTTTAGATATATGGTGAATCTAATGGAAAATTATATGTCTGAATAAGGCTTGACTACAATCTTACCTGGAACATTTAAATGTGTTGCACTGGCAATGACTGTATGTTTGTCCATGTAAAATCCACAGAAATACAATCCAGAGTCAGATAAATCCACTTTTTTGATTTTAAGAAAGACAGTAGAAATGTTGGAGCTCATTTCAAAGTTTTGATTTTGAAATCCATGACAGAATGAAACTTTGCCATCAGACTCGTACATGGAGGAGATACAGCTGGGCTTGGTTCTGTTGATCAGTCTGAACCAGTCTGTCTGAGTTGGAGTTCTGGAAATGTTGGAGCACAGCAGAGTGACTTCTTGTCCACGCTGGACCTCCACAGTCTGAGACTCAGAAACTGAGACAGAGATCCAGCCTGAAACAAACAGCAGAGACAACAAGAGATTTATCCTTGAGTGGATAATGCAACAGTTACTGTAATGAGGCAACAACAACTATTAATTCAGTTCCAATTTACAATTTTAAATTCTGGTTGTTACATTATTTGGTGCTGAGAATAGCGAAGTGCCAGTACTTACTGAGGCTGCAGAGAAGGAAAGCTATTATCAAGGTAAAGCTCCTCATTGTGCATTTAATGGTGTCACTGCAAGATAAGTCTGTACTACTGTAAGTAGGACTTATAAGCACTACTACTGAGCTCTTATAAAGGGGTTTAGAGAGGCGGGGCGTCTTTTGTTTTTCATCTTTCCGCTCACACTGACCTATCAATGCATGCCTTTGCATATGTATTTAAGTTTCGAGCTAATTTCTAACAACATAAACTCTGAATGATGACTTCACATGAGTCTCTACAGTACCACGTTATATCTGTGTCAGATGCAGTTTGAGACCAAGCAAGAACCTCCTGGTCTGACAATTAAAGCCATGCAGAAGTAACTTAAAGAGGTGGTATTATGCTCATTTTCAGGTTCAAAATCCTATTTAGGAGTTGTACCAAAACAGGTTTACATGGTTTAATTTTCAAAAAACAGTCAGAGCAGACAGAGAGAGACAGCCAGGTGTGGGTGTGTGCTTCTGTGTCTGAGAGGAAAAGCAAGGTGAGATGATTAGCCTACTGTGGTTTGTTGTTGGATTAAACACAAAAGTAAGTTGGAGAATAAGAAGAATTAAAATGTAATATTTTCAGCTCCTTGTGCTAGTGTTATTTTCTAATCAATGTTTCATTATGACCATAAAATTGAATGGACCCCAGTGAGAATAGAACATTTATACTGGTGCTGATGGGGTTCCAAATAAAAATTTGAATCAGCAGGTCAGTAACTGGAATCAGCCAGGAAAAATGTAATCGGTGCATCTCTTACTACAGCGATAATCCTGTGTGTGAACCGATATTAGGCTGATACGGTAGATCTACTGTTGGGTTGGGTTTTGCGCATTATGATGTTAAGTGGCAGATCAGTTGGCCTGCTGTCGTTAATAAATATATATATATGTATATATATATATATATATATATATAAAAATGGACTAGAGCGGAAAATATGGATCTGATGCAATGCTACTAAACAAGCAATCCCGGTGAGAGGGGTTATATGCAGAGACTGTGGGATATATGGATGCTTCGAAACCCATCATCAACACTGACAAAGAAACAACTCCTAGCTCAGTGTTCCAACATCCGCAAACGGCAACTCCTATCACAACTACAGATTGATGAGGTGCAACAAATATGCTACGTCAAGGGGAAGCCAGGACGGCAGGTCAGCGGGGAGATGTCATCATCATCCCCACACTCAGAGATTGGGTAACAAGCCCCAATAACAACAAGCCCTTTCGGCACAGAATCACTCAACATAAGGGCGACTGACATACGATTGAAGATCATAACCAAGCTGGACCCCCAAGTACAGCGACCAAGATTGCCAAGGCTAAATGACAAAGTACCCTCTGAAAGTCTGCTAGAAGATGTGAATGCAGCACTACATACTATCCCTACTAAAGCCATAACCGAGACCAATAAGCTGATGTGCGCCACAGCAACAGTGATCTTATACATGCTAGGCTATAATATGAACACCACAAGCCACAAAGAGTATTACCCCCATGGAGGAGAAGGCTAGAGGCAAAGATCAAGGCAACACGACGAGAGGTTAGTCAGCTCTCAGAGCTACAGAAAGGTGCAAGGAAGGTGCTACCTAAGAAATACAACAACCTGTCGATACCTGAGGCTCTGGAGACTGCCAAACAAAGACTTAATGCTCTGGCTACCCGCCTAAAGAGATACAGGGGAGAAGCAGGAGCCAGGAGAAAAAAACAGATGTTCTCCACCGAACCATCCAAAGTGTACTCTCAGTGGCAGGGTAATAACACAAGATCAGATCCACCCAGGGCTGAGACTGAACAGTACTGGAAGAACATATGGGAGAAAGAGGCATCCCACAACACCAATGCTCAGTAGCTAGTGGATCTAAGAACAGATCACAGCAATCTCCCAGAACAAGAACCAGTGACCATTTCAACAGAAGAAATCCAAGAAAGAGTGGCAGGTATGAAGAGCTGGACAGGCCCTGGCATGATCCACACCGACTGGCAGAAGAAACTAACTGCACTCCATGAACGCCTGGCAGCACAAATGAACCAATTGCTGATGGATGGGACCCACCCAGAGTGGTTAACTCTATGATGGACAGTCCTAATCATGAAGGACCCCCAGAAGGGAACAATCCCATCCAACTACCTGCCAATAACCTGCCTCTGCAAAACATGGGAGCTCCTGTCAGACATCATAGCGGCTAAGATGAGTAGGCACGTGGCTCAATACATGGACAGGGCCCAGAAGGGAATGGGTAGTAATACCAGGGGAGCCAAGCACCAGCTACTGGTTAATAGAGCAGTCACTCGAGACTGCAAGACCAGGCAGACCAATCTGTGCAACGCCTGGATTGACTACAAGAAAGCCTACGACTCAATGCCAAATACATGGATACTAGAATGCTTGGAAATGTACAAGATCAACAGGACACTAACAGCCTTCATCAAGAACTCTATGGGGCTGTGGAAGCCAACTCAAAGCCAATTGCACAAGTCACCATCAAGTGCGGCATATACCAAGGCGATGCACTATCCCCGCTGCTGTTCTGCATAGGCCTGAACCCCCTCAGCCAGATCATCACAAAGACTGGCTACGCATACTGTTTCCGAAGTGGAACAACCATCACTCACCTCCTCTACATGGATGACATCAAGCTGTATGCCAGAAATGAGCGAGACATCGACTCACTGATCCACACTACCGGGATCTACAGCAATGACATTGAAATGTCGTTTGGACTGGACAAGTGTGGTCGCATGGTATCAAAAAGAGGGAAGATGATCAGAAGTGACCAGAAGGCCACATTGCAGATGTTCAGGACAGCTACAAATACCTTGGGGCTTTGACATTCTTCTCTTCTAACAAAAACATCTTCAGGTTTTTTTATCAAAGCCCAAAATCTCTCCAGGACCCTTTGCTCTGTGCAAATGCATACAACAATCAGCAAGCATGTGAATGTAGGTGTGTGCATGGGGGGTGCGTGGAGGGCAATAAAGGCGGGGAAGAGCGAGGAAAATTGCACATGTGGCGCGCAGAGCTTAAGCAAGGGTGAAGACCCAAATAGTTTCCATATGTTGAGTGAGAATGTGAGTAAAGCGTGTAAATGTGTATGTGTGTGTAGGCTAATACAGGAAAATAGAAAAAAGAACAACACACAAAGCATGGTATATTAGATCCTGGTTGCCAACTATATAACTACCACTTTATCACACATAGTAGCCTACTTTCAGCGGCCATGGTGCTGGAGTTTAGTCCTGATAAAGTATAGTTACTGACTCTGCACACAGTGGCTGTAAGTAACACAGGTAAAAATTCACAAAAGTAATACGTTTTCTCATGTAGCTCATGCTTTTATCCGAATCAACTGAAAATTGCTATACATGTCAGAGGTCGAACGCCTCAGAAGCAACTAGGGGTTAAGTGTCTTGCTCAGGGACAAAATGGCAGATGGGTCACAGTGGTGGATTGAACCCAGGTCTCTCACACCAAAGGCATAGTCTTATCCACTGCACCATCGCCACCCATAAATGCAATAACTGCCACTTCATCACACAGGAACCGGCGGTGAAATCACTACAATAAAGCTTCAGGTCACAAAGACACAGTTAGAAACCTATCTCTGCCAAGACACATGTGAAATCGCTCTTGTAGTGATATAACACATCAGTCCATCCAGGTAATCCGGCCGAGTCCTTTTCTGCTTGGATATATTTTTTTGGACGATAGCTGCGGTGCTGCACTGATTCTCTTTAGCAGTCGAGGCAAACAGCAGAGTTTGTGTAAAGTGATTAGTAGTGATTTAGCAATGGCACAAGAGATTGGTATACATTTACGAAAAGATCTGTTTTCTTGTTCTGTAAGAATAGCAATGCTTTTAATATTGGTGTTGTGGAGACTTTTTTCTCTACTCATACAGACACTGTTACCACAGGGGGCTGGTCTATTTTATTGTTTTTCTCCCTCACTATTTTTCAAACAATTCTAAATACAGCAAGTACTTTAATTGTGTTATAAGCTATTCTCTTTCCTTTCAAGTAAAGTGTACCTCAGTCACTCCTCCCTCCTCAGACTATCTCACTCTCTCTGTAAGTGACAGACATCAGTGTCCTTTCTGACTCCTCGTCCATCACACATAGGCATGCTCTTTTCTCTCTCAGAGTAAAGGCAGACAAAATAATGGAGACAGATGCTTTGACCGAGGGAGACATGAGTGAGAAAGTTAAAAATAACTCTAATTTAATTTGACTCCTTCCACACACAAAAACACAACAGCAGTTTATTTTGAAAAAGCATCAGTTCCACTCTGAGCTGCAGTTCCAGTTGCTTTCTGAGTCTATCTGGTGGCAGCATACACAACATTTGTCTCCACTTCTCTCTCAGATGCAGGCCTGCGGTTTATTTTTGCTTTTGGCTGGAAGCTTAGAGCTGCGTAGTTCAGGTCATCTGAGTCCAGATTCTAGAAATCAAAGTATATAGTCACATATTGTATCACACACACTGCTGAGTTGCCAAAAATCCACAAACTGGTGGATTTGTAGGTTCTACAACAAAGGAATAATTTAAACTAAGATCATTTTAAATGTTAAGACATGATTTTAAATACAATCCCTGCTGTTTTTCACAATTTAAGCTAAACCTAAGACTGTTTTAAACTGATCATTCAAACAATAGGATTAAGTGCTCCACCTTACAGTAGTCACATTTGAATTTTAAAATAACAATTTTGTAACTGTTTGTTGTTTGTCACTGAACTACAAACAACTACATGCAACTTTATAACCATAACACACAGTCAATATAAATGAATAATGTGTTCACCTTGTTTCCTTCTGTCTGCAGTTTTTCATTCACAGCTAAATGGTAGATAACAAACTTTAATTATTATTGAACATAGACATTACTTTGGACTTGTGCATTATGTCTATTATCTACAAGAACAATTATAGAATTGAGGCGGCTGTGGCTCAGGAGTAGAGCGGGTTGGCCGTTAATCAGATTGGCGGTTCAATTCCTGGCTCCCCCTGGTTGCGTGTCGAAGTGTCCTTGGGCAAGATACTGAACCCCAAATTGCCCCTGGCGGCTGTTCCGCCAGTGTATGAATGTGTGTGAATGTTAGTTTCCGTTTGAGCACTTAGGTTCAGTGTATGAATGTGTGTGACTGGTGAATGCAGATGTAGTGTAAAAGCGCTTTGAGTGGTCAAAAAGACAAGAAAGGCACTATACAAGTACAGAGCATTTACAATTAGATTCTCTTTTCTAATCTGGTTTTAGACATGAGAGATTGAAATTATTGACTAAAATATTTGCACAATGAAATAAATCTTGAGAGAGGAAAACCTTACTTTCAGTCTTAAAAGCCACTTCACCAGATTAAAAAAATGTTAAAAAAAAACGAGTTAAATAATTTCACATGTATTGTCTTTTAGTTTATCTTTATGCTTATTACATGTGAGATAAACTATAAATATGATGAGAAAATTAGATCTCTGAAAAAGGAAAGGCTTGAACACAATCTTACCATTAACACTTAAATGTGTTGCACTGGCAATGACTGTATGTTTGCCTGTGTAAATTCCACAGAAATACAGTCCAGTGTCAGAGAAATCAACTTGTTTGATTTTAAGAAAGACAGTAGAAATGTTGGAGCTCATTTCAAATCTTCCATTTTTAAATCCATGACAGAATGAAGCATTGTCATAAGACTGGAACATGGAGGAGATACAGCTGGGCTTGGTTCTGTTGATCAGTCTGAACCACTCTGTTGTAGTTGGGTCTCTGGAAATGTTGGAGCACAGCAGTGTGACTTCCTCACCAGACTGGACCTCCACAGTCTGAGACTCAGAAACTGAGACAGAGATCCAGCCTGAAACATACAGCAGAGTACTTGTAATAGAGTAACATGACTGTAAACATTATCTCTTAATAAATGACAGCAAGTTAATAATTTGAAGCTGGGAGTAATTCAGTGGCAGTACTTACTGAGGCTGCAGAGGATGAAAGCTGTCATCAAGGTAAAGTTCATCATTGCGCGTATGACTGAAGCTCTGTAATGTCCGTAAATGAAGTGTTCCCCACGAAGGGCGTTCTCAATGCAAAGAGGCGGGCTGTTTTTTGTTGCTTATCATGTTGCTCAAACTGACTACATAGATGCTTTCAGGAGTGTTGAAGCAAACGTTAAACCTCACAGAATACAAGTCAAAGTTATATTTCAGAAAATGTTCATTCACAATAACCTTCACACCAAAATACATACAATACAATCAAAAAAGATAAGGATAAGGTAGCTGAGAGGTGTGATGTGTAGAATCACAGCAAGATGCTCAATTTGAGATGAAAGTTAACATGTTAATGTCAGACAATATTTAGATATTTCCTACAGATGGGAATGTGTTCTGTAGGTAAGCCTGGATGAAACATTGGAAGCGTAGTCCACCTGTGGCCCTGAACCTAGCTGCCACACATTGTGATGTGATTTAACAGGAACCTGTAGTGTTTATTGTCATGCTTTATTAATGGAAGCTGCTCTCTGTGAATGCTGTGTCTGGAGGCTGATATCAGGGGACTGTGGTGACCTGAGTGTTCCTGGACACATTTGTAGATGATTCTTACACTATTACAGTGATCATTGGTGAAAGTAGCCTTCTTCTTTGGGGTCTATAATGGCCATGGGTGGATAAATCTGACCTGGATAAAGCCTGGTCTATGATGTTAATGTACTCTGACATCAATGTATCGATCCACTGTAGATGACATTAGTGGTCACATGTTAGAAATTTATGGCTGTGGTAGTTATGTGTGTAAAATGTTTGTACAAAAAAAAAATCCCGAAAGGGTTTAGTAAAGTCATTCCTTTGGTTCTTTCAGCTTAAAGAATACAAACCCATAGCATACTTAAGTCTTCCTTTGGTAGAATTTTCACTGCTGGTCACTGTCTAAACTTTGTCTTTCTAAAACATTTTTCCAAATCTAGCCATATGACCAAGGCTAGGCCAGAGTTTACCTTTTCTTTTTGACTAACAAATGTATGACTTTAGAAGCATCAAGAAAGATCCCTGACACCTGCCAGTCACCAGCTGCAGTGCTGCAGCTCTGTTCTCTGTGCTGTCACTGCTGACCGTGACAACTATGTTGCAGTAATTAAAACGGTGGTCTCATTTACATTTCGTCTATGCAGAAACCATTCTCAGTCATAGCAGATTGCTCTTTTCTCACTCACTTAAAACCCTACCAACCGCAACTCTACCACCCAGAGAATTTATATTTGTAACATTCTACCTGTAACAAATGTTCTAAGCCCGTACAGCGATATGACCTTATAGCTGAACCTGAAGAGCATGTTTGGTATTTTAGCACTTGTTTCAACGCACATGGTGCAAACATAGAAGGATAGACAAGGACAGATAAGAGTTGCATTTACAGGATCCTGTGCAAGTCAAGCTCTACAAGGTACCTTGGTTGAAAACTAAGCCTAAGACAGGAAAGATAATTGAGAACCAAGGTTTTTTTCTGGAGCAATGCCACTTATTATTGTTGTGGGCCAAACTCTACACTATAAGCAGATTAATTTATTAAAATTAAAACTGATCTTCATATGAACCACTGGTAAGACAGCCAACAAGCAAGAGTCATGGAAAAGAAATAACACAACACAGCAGTGAGGGGGAGAAAAACAAACAAACAAAATATAAAAAATGAAATGCATATGGGACAAGATAACTACAAGTTGACAACCATGGACAACCTACATTTGTTACCAAAATCCAAGATGGCAGCATGTTAGTGTTGTGTTGTCTGTTTTACTAATAAGTTTTTCTCTAAGTTTTTATTTTTTTTAAATGTTTACACTGAAGTAAAGCGAAGTGTTTATATAGTGCGTTGCAAACAGCATTTTCATGATTTGTATGTGGATTTCTCCTTCCTAGATTATTTAACTGGGATACTGCTTTGATTCTCTGAATATATCCCTGCAACTGTCTGGGTTCTGGGTCTCAAAGACCTCCTACGTCTCTCTACCTGACTGGCCTTTCCCTCGGACCACATTCACTGCAGTGCCTTTCTCCATTTCTCACTCCATTGCCTGCGGCCTGCAGTGCACTCACATACACAGATGCACATTTTCTGGACTAAGTCAATTGCACTTCTCTGGACTTTACTATGCGCCTTGTCTGTGTGGGATTTACAAGCAGGTGATCATTTCGGGTTGAGTACATCTAACAATGTGAATTGCCCACTGACAAAATACCTAAACGGCTGGATCAGGACATGAGTTTAGCAGGCATGCCACCCAGAGACCTACCCCGTCTTCAAAGCCAAGAGACTTTGAAGACGAGGTAGGTCGAGACGAGGTTGAAGACTTGGCAGCTATTTTAAATAATTACAGGCAAACATTTAATTTATCAGTACTAGCTAAAGTTCTTGAAGGTCTTGTGAGTGATCAATTAAAGAAGTTTTAATACTCAAATGCCGTTATATCTACATATCAATCAGGTTTCAGAAAAAGACATAGTTCAAGTTCAAGTTCAAGTTCATTTTATTTATATAGCACATTTTATAGCAGCCAATGACTGACCAAAGTGCTTTACAGAACAACAAAATTAAAAGACACTAACACCATGCATAGCAGCACATCATAGAACAGTACAGTAAAGATAAGAACAGCTTAGAACGGGAGAAGCACAAGCAATCATAGAGTTATCAAAAATAAACAACAGAAAGGACATATAAACATACACACACACATATACATATAGATATATGTATATACAAAGATACACATACATAAACAACCTTAATTATAGGCCAAAGAAAACAAGTGCGTTTTTAAAAGTGACTTAAAAGAGATCACAGAAGGGGCTATCCTAACGTCTAAGGGCAAATTGTTCCACAGCCGAGGCCCAACCACAGAAAAAGCTCGATCCCCTCTGCGTTTAAGTCTGCAGTGAGGGACTTGTAACAGATTTTGTTCGCCTGATCTGAGACTTCTCGATGGAGTATACGGTTGTAGCAGTTCAGTTAGGTAGCTAGGTGCTTGGTTGCATAAAGCTTTGTACACAAATAACAGGATTTTAAACTCAGTTCTGAAATTAACGGGCAACCAATGAAGAGACCGCAGAATTGGGGTGATATGATCACTTTTACGACTATTTGTGAGGAATCTTGCGGCGGCATTTTGCACCAATTGCAGACGAGCAGTTTGGGATTTCGAGATACCACAGTAAAGTGAATTGCAGTAATCTACACGTGTGGTGATAAAAGCATGAACAGCCATCTCAAGAGTTTTAGGATTAAGAAAAGGTTTGACTTTTGACAAGAGACGTAGGTGATAAAAACTAGAGCTTATTACCGAGGAGATTTGTTTATCAAAATTTAAAGACTCATCCAGTAGAACGCCCAGGTTCCGAACACTTGAGGATCTAAACGCCGCTAGTCTGCCTAGGTCGAGGGTGGCAGCCTGGGGATTAACAGTGGGCCCGAAAACAATGATCTCTGCGTCGGCCTTCACAGACAACCTCAAACATTCTGTTGTGATTTCTCTCATTGACCTTTTTTACATAGCACCATCACAGCTGCAATGAAGGTGGTAAATGACGTTTTGGTTGCACTTGACAAGAAGCAACATTCAGCATTACTCTTTATTGATCTGTCCAAAGCTTTCAATACTGTTGATGATGAAGTTTTAAGACTTATTAACTCAGGACTTTCAGAGCAAGCAGTTGCTTGGTTCTCAAACTACCTTAGTAATAGGTCTCAGTGTATTAGATATGTATATGATGTGTCTGTGTTCCAATACTGTAGCAGTCACTAAGGGTGTACCACAGGGCTCTGTATCAGGTCCACTTTTATTCATTATTTATATAAACAATATGGGTCAAAATGTGTCAAATACTAATCTTCATTTTTATGCTGAAGATACTGTCATATATTGCTGTGTGTCAACTCTTGTACAAGCAATTGAATATTTGCAGAATGCGTTTATCGAAGTCCAAAATACCCTTATGCAGCTGAAATTAGTTCTAAAGGCAGATAAGACCAAACTTATGTTGTTTACCAAATCCAGGACCAGGCCACAAAGCATACCTCCGGTTCTGGGGGGAAGCTAAATAGAGGTTGTTAACTCCTATAAATACCTGGGTCTTTTGATTGAGTTCTAAGCCACATGTGCTATACTTGGTGAAATGGCAGAGGCTAAAATTGGGTTTTTATTTTCGAAATAAGTTTTTCGAGCGACTTGTGGCCACCACTTTTTTATCTGTTCTGGACTATGGTGATCTTTTCTATATGCATACCTCTGCACAGAATCTTCATATGGTTGACACAGCTTACCATGCTTCCTTGAGGTTCATTACAAATTGCAAAGCACTGACTCACCACTGTGAGCTATACTCTATGTCATTGGTACTCTTTCATATATAAGGCAATTCTTGGTCTGCTGCCCAGCTACCTATATGTTCATATCATGCAGAAAAGTAATGGGTGACACTCTTTGCGTTCTCAGGACTTCTTTATGCTCTCTGTGCCAAATACCCGTACGGAAACGGGAAAGAAGGCATTTCTGCACCTTCAGCATGGAATATGTTGCAAAAGGATTTGAAACTCCCTGAATTAATCTTGCTAAACACATTTAAGAGGCAGATGCCTTAATATGTAAATGCTCTTAGACTGTAAAAATGATATAAAATGACTTTATGAAGTGTTAGCTTACTAATCTTCTGTGTTATTTGTCTGCACCTATGTGTTTGCATTTTTTTATATGCTGCTGCCTGTCTTGGTCAGGTCACCCTTGGTTCTTAATCTCAATGGGACTCTCCTGGTTAAATAAAGGTTAATAAATATGTATGTGTGTGTGTGTGTGCGCATAAGCCTGTCACAGAGTTACTGTCACTGCAGTTGTTAATGAGAGTGGGACACCACAACAGTGCCGCACCGACCCTATTGGCAGGCGGGCAAGAACCCAAGCAGCCAGGGTACCCAGGACAAAGGACCCGATATCACATGCCACAGAGACAGCCATGCCCCCGCCCCAGG